GAGTTTATATCAATCGGGCAACTTCTGGATTACTTCATCAATGAGGTCTCTTGCAAAAACGACTTTGAGTTTATGCAGGCGGTTGTGAGATTATTTCTGAAGGTAAATCAATTTCTTTTCCCATAGAACCAAGTAAACAGTGTCTTCGCAAATTACAGGCACCTTTACGCTTTTGTTTTTTTGGTTTGAGAATCTTGACTCTTCATAACAAAACTTGGTTTATCTGTTGACAGATCCACGGTGAGACCATAAGGTGCCACCCGAGTTTACAAGAGAAGGCAAAGAAGCTTTTAGAAACTCAGAGTTTGGTGTGGCAGAAAATGGAGAAGCTTTTCCAGAGCACAAGATGCATAGTTACCTTCCTTAGCAATTCACAGTTTTGAAGAAGCTTATTAACAAATATTGCTCTGTTTTTTTATGTTGCTCTGTTTTTCACAAAATAGCAGTTTTGAAGAAGCTTAATATAATATTGCCCTGTCTTTTAGCATTGAGATGTAGTATCCACTGGTAAAACAAATAGAAAATGTCGACGTTATTCTGAATTGGTTGAATTGGAGAAAGCTTAAAATCTTAACTCTTTGAAAGAATTATGAAACCAGTCCAAAATTTTAAGGGAAAATTGGCCAATTCATACTCTAAAAACCATTTTTCGTATATCTTTTGATTTTCTGTTATACAACTCGTGATATAGAGACCTAAGGGCATGTGCAGTGGTGGGTTGTCAAAAGAGTTTTCAACAATATAAAAAATAAAAATAATAAAAAAGTAGGAGAGAGGGATAAGAATCAATTCTCAAATGAGAACTCTTGAGAACCCCTTGAGAGACTATTATAACACATGTCATAATATTATTGGTTATGAATTCTTTTCTATCTTTCAAAATTTAAATAAAAAATAAACTAAATTAAATGTATTAAAATAATATATATGAGAGACTGTGAGAGTCTCTCCCCATTGCACATGCTCTAAGATGACAAATTTTTCATCCAATAAGGTTACAAAAATCAACAAATGTTAATCCCTCAAACAAAACGGGACAAAAAATACAGAGTTTGGTGTAAAAAAAAAAAAGTATTGAAGAAAAAGAAAGAAAGTAAATTAGTCAGACTTATGTGTAGTTGAGAGCTTCCTCTTCATTCTGCTATAAGGTCCAACTGTTCTATCCATAATATACATATAAATCACTTGTGACCATGACTTTTACGACTCCAATCCTTCATAATACTCTCCTGCAATCTCCTTCACCAAATGCAGCTTATTTCCCGGTATCCTCGGGAACTCATGGTGCTCGTTATGGTAGCCGACACCCCATGTTAGCAGATTTAATGGACCGTAATACGAATAAGTCTCTTGATTCGGGTTAAAAACATAATGTTCTGAGATAAAATGTTGGATGCATGCCGCCTCCAACAAATGTGGATAAGATTAGATACGCGAAAGATCTCCGATCCATCCGAGGAAGAGAACAACTGATACATCTAAAACTATCTGAATGAAGAAATTGATGAACTCCCAGTAACCAGGTGGATGAAGACCGGACGAAGAGCGTAAAAGAAGAGTTGTAAGAAAACCCAAATTGTTTTGGCAAAGATATTAAATGAGAGCTTCTGTGTAAGTTGGAACATCCATATCAATACCGTCTAATCCTTGGAACCGGTGATGCCGTGATGCTCGAGATGGTATTTTTGGAAAGTTACCGACATTGGTACACCGATTGGGAGATTGGCAAAAATACCGAGCCAACGATTGTAGACAGGAGTTGAAAAGGCAAGGTTGTGACTTAGCTCATGGATTGCTAAAAAGAGATTGTGATTGAGGAATGATCCAATGGCTAGAATCTTGAGCCATCCTGAGTTGTGAAGGATTGCAGCTGTTGAAAGTTGAAGAATAACTACTAATGCGATCTGTATAGACAAATACAAAATTGCTTATTCGTTTGGGTTTTAGAAAAAATTCACCAACCCAAAATCGAACCAAATTTCAATTAATAGCCCTAAGGATAAAAAATACAAAATCGAACCCAAATTTCAATTATTTGTTTGGGTTTTAGAAAAAATACAAAGCAAATTGAATATTTTGGGTGAAAAAGTGCCATTCACCAACCCAAATCGAACCAAATTTCTATTAATAGCCCTAACGATAAAGAAAATTTTATGCCAAGTAAGACGAATCTCTTAAAACCTAATATTTGTAACTAAAATGTATGATAAAAATATAATCGAAACAAAAAAACACTACTTAAAAATGAATAATACTGATTTATGTAGTTTCTATTTATGTTAAATTTTGTTTTATTTTGTATCCTAACTCGAATTGAAATAAAATTCAGTTGCTTGGACTCATCTCCAAAATGAAAAAAAAAAACCCTAAAACACGAACTGAACCAAAATAAAAAACAAATGCGGACCTAAAAAAACAAAAGGTTGATTTGCAAAACAAAAGTGACGCTTTTGGCAGATGAAATTAAATATATAGCACCACAAAGTTGGAAATGCAGTTCGTAACATCTGAGGTACCTGAAAAGACTAGAAACTCTTTCTCACTCGTCAGGATAGAAATGAGAGGCGCGTGAAGATGGCTGACAAATTTGAGAGATAGGGTGACGTGGCTTAGTTTTACCATATACTATACTATTCTATTTAATAATGCGTGTACTATTCCATTTGGGAACTACACACATTTGCTGACATATGAGATTTTCTTTTCAGGTGTGGAGTCCGCTTTCTTTGATGGTAGCAGGAGACACGACGCCAACCGCAACCACGTAGTTCGAATAGCTCCGCCCAAAACCGAGATCCCGCCTCTGTAAATTGAAACCCCCAAATCAATTACGAACAAATCCTAGACAACCCTTCCGAAATTTACAAGGCTTTCTCTCTTCGAAATTATACAAACCTATCATAGAAGAAATCAGAAGCTTCAGATTTCGTGACTGTAATTTCGATGAAAGTAAACCTCAATTCAAATTTTTACAGTAGCCAAGAAAAAAGATTTCTCACGCAACAGGTAAGAAGAAGAAGATAAGAAGAATAATAGCGTGGACTTCACACAGAGGTTAGAATTGTCTTTATTACATAAAATATACACAATATCAGTTTCTTTTTTTTTGAAGCGTTAGTTTCTTAATTATTAATTTTTTCGTTGGCTATAAAATCAAATTTCCCAATACAAAAACCCTAATTAATGGTTAATATGGAGTAAGAAAGATCACATATGAATCACAAACTCAAATGTTGTGGGATCAAAAAGAAGATGAAGAATAGCAACAACAGACGTACGAGAAAAATGATAAAAAAAGCAATCTTAGATCCGAGAATAATGGTAGAGACAGAGATAGGGAATAATGACCTTGAGGAAAGCCCATGGATCAGGACCAAATAGTTGTCTAATCTGAGGATAACGATACGGAATCTGACGTCTCCTAGAAGCATGAGGCTCATCGGTGTAAGACCAAAAGAAATCTGTAGCCATGACCAGAGCCGGACCAACCAATTCTGGGACCCTATTATAATTTTTCCAAAATAATAATAGTAGTAGGTGTTTTTTTCAATAATAATTTTTTATTTCATGAAATAGGGTTCTTTTGTAATAGATTTTTTTCCAAAAAAAGTTGGGGTCCATTGTATTGTTTCATGTTAATGTGCGTAGGTCCGGCTCTGGGCCCATGACTCCTTCTCTTTCTTCTTCTTTTTCCTTTGATGATATCTTCTCACGTCCTCCTTTCCCCATTCCTTTCTTCGTCTCTCCCGTCGGTATTTTTCTGTTGTTTTTTCCGGTGAGACGACGGGAGAGAGAGAAAGTCAAACGATAGAGAGATTTTGTTTTCGAAGATTAGTGGTGCAATTTAGGAGATGGTGCAGAGACTTTCAAAGGTGCAAGAGAAGAGAAGACGTTCCACGTGCACATGCATGTGTGTGTGAGAGGAAATAAGCCAATAATATGCGGGATTTTCTTAACTAACTATATTTAGTCATTTTTCAATCTTTTGATTTTAATTGATGTTTTCGTGTATATATATATATATATATATATATATATATATATATTTTTTCATTTCTGTTTAGTTATTGTTCCTATAATTGGATGGTGTTTTTTTCACCAAAAAACTTATTCACAGCTTGGCTTTGAAGTTTGCTTTTTGAATAAAATGCTGACTCTTTTAAATGAATGTGTCAAGGGGTTTTATTTGTAGGAAGAACAGGTGTGGTGAGAATATAATAAATAAGTAATTAAACCCCACACTGCTGTTGTTCAGTGGTAGTTAAGAATTGTGGAAAAGTTGGAAGGAACTAACCCAAGTTCGATCCACGCTGGAAACAAAAAAACACATTTGTGTTGGAAGTCTGGGTTTGGGCCAAAAGGCCCAAATAGTTTACATGGTAGTCCAGTAACAGGCGATCTGGCTACCCCTGACATTAGTCGGAAAACAGCTGATAGGGTTTATCAAAAAAAAAATTAATTAAAGTGTATTTTCACACGTAATTGTTACATATGACGTGATAACATGTAAAATAACGTATTATCGGTTAAAATAACATGTTATTTGCTAATGACACACAAATAATGTCAAAACTCTAACGGTAACCTCTCTTCCACTGTATGTTGATTTGATAAACACACATATATATATATATATGTAGCAGTTTGAGACATTAGTACCTAATGAATGAAATTCACCCCCAACATCGACCATAGTTTTGAGTTTTATAATTACAATTACTAGTTTTCTTTTATCAAAACAAAAGTCAAAAATTTATAAGTGATTTAGTGAGAAAGTCGAAAACCTTGATAGTATTTTTTTTTTCGTTAGTTATGAACATGTCAATGTGTGCTCATTGATCCACGACGTAAATAAAAAGTATAGAAGCTTCTTACACATATTTTAATTGATTTGATTCAGTTAAGGAAATTATGAAATAGCTGTAATTATATTTAGTAGTAGTTGACAAAAATGAGAAAACAAAAAGTAGTACTAGCTGCATGACGAGTCAAAAGTCCACTTTTCATGACAAACACAATCTTGCATAAAATTACCGCCATCATGAATTCTACTACATCATCACCATGATCTCTATTACATCACCGTCATGTCCTCCTCTACATTCTTTACTACTCCACTTCAGTTAAAAGGTTAAAGCCCTTTAATACATAAAAAAATGATGTTGCAGCCTCAAGAGTTTTACAGTCCACAAAAAGCAAACTCTATAGACCATAATGGCTCCAACCAAGTCTAATAAATCGCTATACACCAAGACCTGTTTCACCACACACTGTCTTGAATCTTTGCAGAGACCCTCTCGCTTCCGGTTCCATTCAAGACTTACATATTGGACAGTGGTTAGATCATACAGGTCCGAGAATAAGGATTAGGTGAATTTTGTGATGTCTAAGCCAATTGGTTTGGTTTGCACTCTTTGCTCCTCAAAATTTACTGATTTTCTGGTTGTTCGATCAAAACCAATATAGTAGATGGGAAGTTCATTTGTTCGCCTATACAACACGGACCCACGTTCCACCACACATGGGGCAGCAATAGACCCAACGGCTGGTCCACCAGGTTTCTCGTTCATTCGGATTTGGCTGCTTAGAGGCACCCGGTGAAGCAAATGCAGATGTCTGCCTTAGGCATCTTATGCACTGCAATAAGAAAGACATACATGTTACTAAGGTGTGACAAAAAATTTTTTTACTTCTTTATCACATTACAACAGTAAAGAAATGTTAAGGGAAATGTATGAGAGTAACCTTGTACCAAACTCCGTCAAGACCAGTTTTCCATGTCGCGGTGACAACATCCCTACGAGAACCCATGATTCCAAGATATGCACCCAAACCCACAGAAGTATTTGAACCAAAAGCTGCATCTCTTTCAGACATCCTGCGTTTTCTTGGCCAAATTCTATGGACTCTGTTGTATCCATCACATATTCCGGAAAAGCTTGTATCAGGCAGATCTACGGAGTTACTCAGCTTGGAAGCATCGTCTGTCAGGACCATATCCTCAGGCTCTGACCCGGGACCACCAAACAAATTTCTTCTATGCCATTCTTCGGAAGGCGGATGAAGCTCTAACTCCCGAAGTAGAAGACCAGCAGCATCAGCTCCTCTTGGGCGAGGCATGTTCTGTTAATTCAGTTTTTACAACAAATTATCTTATGAGAAACCAGAGAATATAGATCACAAGATATTATTTCATAATGTAGTTGACCAAATAGCCACTAACAAGAACAATAAAAATTGTTTCAAAATTTTTATTATAAACACGGATTACCTGCATATGTGGTCCAAGAGCCGCTTCTACCACCTCAGGCAATACAGTGTAATTTCCATCAATATAATGCAGTCGAACTTGAATGTTTCCACTACCTACCTGGGAGCCAGGTAAGGGATGCGCAAGACCAGATGTTCGCTTGCAGAGATCCATTAGTATATGGAAAAGAACTCTCACCTGGAAGATCAGAAGCATACCTTGTCATTAAAGAAACTTTCTAGATTATTGTACCATCAACATGGCATTGCTTTCTTCGTTTCAAAATCTACGAAGTCTATCATATTCACTCAGTTATAGTTTCCACCAACCTACCAAGGGTTTCCGTTATTCTTACCCATATTGATCAGATTAAGCCTCTATTCTTGAGGTAACAACAAAAGGGTTCCACGGATAATTGAATAAAAGTAAAGAGGACACAGGAATACAGGTGCCAACCTCCTCATAAGTATATCCTTGACCGGCATTCCCAGAACCCATCTTTGTTGTACGAGCAGAATTTTCGTCAATCCCTTTCACTCCAGCACCCAACTGGGCACCCCGGAATCCCTGGGCTTCCTCTATCCTGTTCAAGGCAGGGGTTGGTTTAGCAGAGTTGACCTCTTCCAATTTGCTGGTAGCCCCCGTTTGAAGTTTTTGTGAACTAACATCAGCATTTCGCTGGGGAAATCGTGAAGACCGCTGGAGAAAACAGAAAAGCAACAGCTGACATAACCTATGAAGGAAATGACAGTCCCCAATGAGCCGAACAGCAGGTGTTCCTGGAAATGTTCCTGTATTGATGCTTATTGGCATGAAGGTAGGTGAACCACTGATTGGGTTTGCGGTAGAGTTGGATACTCCATCATTTGAGCTACTAATTTTCGCTATGGCACCCTGCATCCAAGCTTGTGTGCTTCCACTGAAGTTTGTAGTAGTAGTAGTAGGTTGGCCTGCTGCATGATACAGTGACTTGTCAGGAAAAACTGTATATAAAAGAGTTGGGATATTCCTCAATTGCACCCCTACAAGAAACATGCAAAACCCAACAACAAAGATATCCAATTGTACTACGTAGAAAAAATAGCTGGACAATACGCTATAGTTTACAAAGATGAAGAATATCAAGACTTCAGAAGCTCATCTCATATTCATTAATTCTAGGACCAAACATGTGCTTCATATCATCACCGACCAAGAAGGGAATGGAATTTTCTATCACTATGTGCCTATGTACCATTCAAATTCCCTTTTGTCATAAATTAGATATGAAAAAATCAATAGTATACTGACCCTGAGGTGTTGCAGGAGATGATGCATTTTGTGTGGGACTGGTACCTATGTTGCGATTACTGCCCGTTCCAGCAGAAGCAGCATGGCTCGCAAGCGTCCGACAAAAACTCGCATAACGCCTTAAACGTGTGATGAAATGTGAAGCAAGATCAAGAACAGCATCCACATAAGCCTGTAAAAGTGCAAAAGGAATTAGAGTATGGAAAATTTTGCAGCAGGAAACCAAACTTGTATAAGGATGGTGATATGGTCTGTTTCAATGATATTAGATCCATGATCAGAAAATGCAATGTTCACTATATGATCTAAAATGTCTTCAGATAGTGCCAAATAACCAAATCTAATACAGCATGTGTTGACTGATTATAAAACGTAAAAACTAAGATATATCAGCATTCAGCAAAGAGCAACAACTCTTTAAATGAAAACACTGCATGAACCGTTCCCAGGTTTTGATCCTTGAATTTCCATATTTCATAAAAGAAAAACCAAGAACTTCATCCTCAGACTTGGAGGCAGTAAGATACCTGAATACTGGAAACAAGAGCAGGATCAACAGCCATTGCCTCCGGATTGATGCCTGTTATTGTCTCCCCATCTACTCGCCATGGCTCAAAAACCAACGCCGAAGGATTCACAAGAGCTGATTCAATTCCTTTTCCGAGCATGTCCAACAGCAACCTTGCTTGCATATCTAAAACCATGGCACGAACCTCTTGAGCATTGGTCCCTTCAAGCAACCGACATTTGATCCTGTCTAGGTTCTGAAAACCATAAAAATACAAATTCTTACCAAACAGCGCAACCAACCAAAAAGGAAAGAAAGCAAAAAAAAATAAACATGAAGCATCTCAAGGGGACAATAGACTGCCAATATTCTGTTCAGCGTCTTAGAATCAGTCAATCAGATGCATTGTATACTGGCTACTCAAATAATCCAAAATCAGATTCACTACAGGCAGTTTGTTCTTTCTTTTTCCCCTTTTTCTTATATATTAAATGAAGCTGTATAAAGCTACACTATCTTATAGTCCGATAAAAGAATAACACAAAATAGGTTCTGCACGGTCATGGAATAGAGTAGCTTTATAGAGCTACAACATTATAAAAACCCAGAAAAAAAGAACAAGGCATAATAAACAGTACCGCCATGCAAACAGTTCAGACATTTAAAAAGGAGAAAGGTAATGAGTTGGGTTCGGGTTGAGAAAAACATACAGGGCCATATTGTTGTCTGTGCTGTGTTGAAGGAAGGGAGTGAAAATCAGCATCCATGACAGCAATCACGCTGTTCAATGAAACTGTAATCATCATAAAAAGAAACACATCATCCGGTGCTTTCAGCCATATATTATTCAAACAATACAGTATAATATTTGAACCACTATCCTTCAAAGTTTATATCATTCAAAGCCTAGTGTAAAAGCAAAATAGAAAAATAGAGAAAAGGTTCTTTGAATGACACTCAGCCATTAAAACTAGAACTTTTCAAAAACTAAAATATAACCTATCATTTTCTAAGCAAAACTAAATCCAGGGGCTGTTCCACAACTAAAAAATAAAAAATTTTAAGTGCAGATATTAAATAACTTTTAAATCAAGACACTTAGCACTAATATACCTATCCCATCCTCTGCAGCACTCTGTGTGCAGCCAACTGCATCCCACCAATCAACTCCAACCAAAAGACTCCACCAGAATCTGTTAAGAAAAAATGCATACCTCAAGTCACTATATAAGTTCATTTGCAAGCAGACAAGCTAGAAAATATATACCAGAGATTACATACCTCTCAACAATCGCCCGCTCCCATGTTGATTGATCAACCTTTGACTGGTTACGTGGAAGAGCAGGAGGAAGAACACGGATGATTTTCAACATTGCGCAGTCCTTAGCAGCATCATGCCATACAGAAGCCGAACAACAGCTTGTTGGAGAAAATGCGGGTGCAGCAATTGCAGATCCAACATTTATTTGATAGTTTTCAACAGGTGAAAATGTTGGACCAGAAAAGATATGAACTCCACCACGAAGAAAAGCAATTGCAATTTCACCACCATGAGCAGAATAGACAATCCGTGCAAGTGTACGAATATCACTTGGCAAATCAAAAGGATCAAAAACAACCTTGTTAGCCTTCTCATCACCAGAATCAGGCTCCTTTGGTGCATCCACACTTGGTCCTGCTGCAGCTACTTGATGATTCTTAAAATCTTTAGTAGGCGGTATGCTCATATCCACTCTGGATACCCAGACAGTTTGCGTGGGGACCTGTCCACCAAAATTTGAAGTTGGGTTTCCAAATATCTGATGCAGTACAACAGGTTGAACACTTGATTCCCAGCGCTGTACTCTCCAGCCTGTGATTGAAGGACCTTCATCTGGATCATACGGAGACATGTACTGCCCTGGAGACGCAACCAATTAGCATCTATTTTAAACAACAATATATGAGCATTTCTATAGCACCAGACAAAACAAAAATAGCATTTTCTCTCATCGGGCAGCTCTGCTCTTCAATATATGAGCATTTCTATATGATTGACCAACAACTCAATGTAAACCTGAAAATGTTTATTCTATCATGGAAACAATATGAGGTTCAGAGAAGGATGAGAACAATACCTTCAACTATAACAACTGCTATCACTGAACCACCACGAGTTGGATCAAAAGCAACAGCAGTAACACCAGATCCCCATGTTGTGGTTGCTGCAGACTGAGCTGCAGCCTCTGGACTTACATAAGCAGAAAAATTGGAAACCGGCGAGCAACTTAGCGATATAGCATCACTGGAATCTTGATCTGTGGGCTTCTTCCCTTGCTTTATCTCGGATATCAAGTACTCTTGCCAGCTGAACAAGTAAGCAGCTAAAGGAGCAAAGCCTGTCCAAGAAGAAGAACTAAGGGATGGTGGCACACGACTGCCTGTAGAGATTTTTGGAGTCGCCTGGAGTCCATTTCCAGGGCCAGGGGTCACCTCCCATACTACAATTGTTGAAGGGTTTACAATAGGAACTCCTGCTACATGCATGGCACCACTGTCCGTTATAATAGCATCAGCAGCCATAATTCCACTGGGCCCTGCACCTAAAAGACCTTTCTTTGTACTAAACCACTTTGGTGCAGTGCATCCCTGGTTAGAAGGCCACTGAGACCAATGAAGTTGAACAGAGCCGGATGAGAAAACAGAGCACACACATAAAAAGTTGGGCCACCGAGCTGCAACAATAGGTCGAGAATCAGAACCGTCACATAAAATGGAGGAAAATGCACTAAGGTCATAACATAGAAATCATAACATGTTGTATTGATCTTGTCACATATATATGAATGTCAAAGAAACTGACATAATTGAGTGCATAGTTCTAAATATATCATCAAAAAATGAGTCACAGGAGGCAAGTAGAAGAAAACCTGAGCTTTCAGAGCTCTGTGAGAGAAATTTCTCCTCGAAAGTTGACTTTGCATTCGTACCAGAACTTGGCTTGGAGGACAACCACCTATACTGATTTTCAATAAAAAAAAGAAAACATACAGGATAAATTTCCTAGGATAAAACTAGAGCAGCAAACTAGGTGGCCAGAAACAACATGATATTAGTCGTTCAGAACATGTACTTTGCAATGGCAGTATCATCTATCCATTACTCCTTATGTGTCCATGCCTATGATCATAGAGAAACGTATCGAAGAAATGAAAATTGGAAGATCTTTTAGGAGTCTAGTAATTTCGCAAACAGAAAGTTGGTATTTCCAGGAAGTTATGGTTTCTTCATCTCGTTTCCTCCAAAACATAGAGACATTTCCGGTTCAATTACTCACGATTTAGCAATTCCATTGCCCACTCTCACATGCATCCCCTCCGTTATTAATTTAATGAACCCGTGAAGGGACAAACATGCAGTGTATTTGATAAAAAGGCAAATAAGTAAAACATAAAAGTACATACTGGAGAAGCCCCCGCCAGCCACTTTGTAACAACAGCAATGTCCTGACGCCATTCATGCTCACACTGCCAGGAGGTAGCATCGTGCACTAGATTAGCCGAACCCTGCACAAACAATCAACACAAAAATCGTCTGAGGGTGTTGTAAAACATCTAGACACAGAAGATACAGAAGAATTATAAAGGTAAATACCAGTGATCAGGAGCACAAACCTGAGTAGGCTGCGTCCAGATAGTTATCCGTCCATGAAAATTAGCAATGAGTAACGCCCGAGGACAAGAAATGGGAGACCATTCGATAAATTGGACAGAATCACGAGGAGAGTCTACGTAAACAAAATTGCATCATAATTGTTTAAACCCCTGAATCCAAACTCTGATTACTAGAGCAACCAGGTTCATAAATAAGCAAGTGATGTCGAAATACCTGCCACAACATTAAACACCGCACACTCAGTTGGGCGCTCAGGTATCAAGATATGTATTGGTATCCAAAAAGGTGTATTTGCCTTGGAGCTGCATGAGATGACAAGAGTGAAAGATGAAAAATGAGAAATTCATCACTGCCCATATATCTCCATTATTATTGAAGACATAGAAAACTAACAAAAACCAAACCTTGGAATCCTGGCACAGGTCTCAGAAGCACAAGCAATAGCATTCAATTTACCACACCACGCAACAGCACTGATACAAAGAAAAGGAGAAAACTTTACAGGAATTGATGAGTTTGCAGGTGAAATCTTAAAACTTTCCGATCGGAGAAAGAGTCAAACCTGAAGTTACGGCACAATTCAGGAACACTCATCTTATGAAGCAAATCGGAATTGGGCTGCTTAAGCTTAACACAGAAAACTGTAGCCGGACTCACAGGATCAATCTCCATGTTACTAGTACTAGTATTATCGTCTTCTTTCTCTCCGTCTGCTGATTTCTCCTCGGCGACGACGACAATTGGATCCGTAGACTCAGTCTCTTCCTGCTTATGCTGTACTTGCTCTTTTTCCTCCTCCACTGTAGCTGGAGCTTCAATGTTTCCTCCACCCAAAGAAACTTCTTCTGGGTGTTGCTGATTCATGTCGGCGAAAGCAAACAAAACCCTAAATTTATAGAAAAATCGGAGAAAAGAGGCAAGTGTGACAAAAAGTCGCGATTGAAGGCGACAGAATGCACTGTGCGTAGAGAGAGAGAGAAACTATTAGTGGGGTTAACGAGAGGACTTAGTGCGGGGAAAATTCCAAAATCCCCACAAAATCAAAATCGAAAAAAAATGCAATTTTGATTTTTTAGGGTTTGGAGTCACAGTCTCGTCGCCGGGATGATGAAAATTAAAAACTCGGTGAAAGTGATCCTATAACGCCGTCGTGACTGGTGACTTTCTCTCTATTTTATTACTAGCCTTCTTTTTTTTCCTCTTTTTGCAATTTTACTTCTTCTTCTTTTAGAGTATTTTATTAAGACAAAAAAAATGAAATGATAGTTTTGAATTGTGGAAACCCATTTGCCCATTGGTTGACCAAGGGTTGATTAATGCTTCTACACCAAGAGGTCTGAGGTTCGAGTTCTAGATATTGCGATTTATTAACAAATTTGCATATTAATGGAGGCAAGTGTGCAAGAGATCTCCAACGATGTACAATTATAGCCGTTCGCCAGGATTCTACGCAGAGAAGGAAGTGTCGCCAGGTCGGAAGGAATTGTCAGTTGTAGAATCGTCTATGTAACAGTTCTCATAATTTGCAATTAATAATAAATTTAGACGACAAAAAAAAAAAAAAAAAAAAAAAGATAGTTTTGAATCTTTTGATTAAGGAAAATGATCATAAATTCTTTTTTCTTCAAATTCATAATTGTAAACATGGAAAGATACTAATTACAAGAGGATGCTTGTTTGACATTTGGCAATGGCATGGGCACATTTTCCCCAAATTGAAAGTTCGGAATTAAAGTGTCTACATGGTTGTTGTATCTCCTCAATGTAGCATTTGAGTCATGCCCAAGAATGAGAATCACTTATTGCTTGCACCAAATTCTTTGAGTCACATAGCTAGTAACAACACTTCTTGCACTCCAAGGTTATCAAAGCATTGAAAACCCGCTGCTTCGGCTTCCAAACTATGATGTATGTGTTTGCACAATACCATTTAACCTCCCCCCTTCCAAAGGCATCAACATTACATTTAAGTTTATTTGCGGTGGGAGACATTCATTTGGAAAACTCCCTCTGTGAAAGTTGTTCATTGTGTTTATTCCACTCATTAGCTTCCATCTTTTATGTGTTGAGCTTCTACACCTTTTTAAATTTCACATTTTCATGATACTTGATCATAGATTAGATTGATTCCGGATTTTTATCAAAAATATGATATCCAGATTTCTCTAATTTAATTGTGAGGAGGTGTCTCATGACTTGCTCAAATAATCAGTGGGCAAAGTATTATAAAATTTTGACTGAAACCCCTAATTAATTAAAAAATAATAATATGAATTGTGATGCGAACCGGATTTTGATATCGAACCGAGTTATCGAATTTGAGGGGTTTTGACCAGATGTACCAATTTTTATCTCAATTCAGTCTCGGATACTGGTCGAACCGGCCGGTATGCTCTTCTCAGGGTGACTCAAAATAAAAATCTTTTATAAAAAATCGTATCGATCGATCGTCGTCTTCCGTTTAGTCCTTCTCCCTCAAATTTTCTTCTTCGTTAAGGATACAAAAAATCAAAAAGCCTCGAAGAAAAACTTGAGATCGAAACAGCCATGGCGGGTCGTTACGGATCGCAAGTCATGACGATGACTGTGACCAATACTCCGTCTGCAGATCTAGCTTTTACTAACCTCGCTTACTGCTCCTCTTCCGATCTCCGTCAATTCTCCGTTCCCGGTTCCGATCTCTTCCTCGCCAACGTTGCCGATACCTTCATTCTATCTCTCTGATATCCTTTCTTTTTTCCATTTCACGATCCATTTGTTACATTGCAATGCGATAGTTCGAGTTGATTTTTTATGTGAAATGGTCTTTTTTTTTGTGATTACTGCTAAATTTACCGAAATCGGTCTTCGAAACTTGAATCTCAGCCCTAGGAATTGTTCTTATATTGATTGAAGAGCGTAGTACAAGTACAATTTAGGTTTTTCTGGTTTTCATGTATGATAAAAATCAGAGCTCCTTTGGTCTTTGACAATGTTGAAACTTGTTCATTGTGTCATTTACTTCGATTTTTGTGAACTTAACTGTTGATTACTGGACATGGAAGCATCCGTGATGGAAATATTGCTCTCAATGCTATTCAAAGGCGGCATGCTAGAGTTTCGACTGGTGATATGGTATCTGTTAGCAGGTAATTATTATCATACAGTTTGTTTTTTTATCATAATCTTCTGGCCTGAATACATTTTGGTTTCTAAATATTGTCTTGTTCTTGCAGATTTGTTCCTCCAGAAAATTTTGATCTGGCTATGCTGACGCTTGAGTTAGAATTTGTAAAGAAAGGGACTAAAAGCGAGCAGGTTTCTTTGATATCTATGATGTGTTTCTTGGGATCTTTGCAGGCTTTGTGATTGAACTCAACTTCTCTGTACAATATTACTTTACAGGTTGATGCTGCTCTCCTTTCTACCCAACTTAAGAGGAAATACACCAACCAGGTAGAGATATTCTTGTTCTGCTGTCTCTATTTTTGTTACTTGTTTGGCTTCTGGCGGTACACATTTCTTGTTCTGTGGTTTAAACATGCATCTGAGAGGAAAAATGAGAGAACTGTGATTCCTAAACAGATAAGGTCTATATAAAACAGATTAGCTGGTATAGATTCCATTTGTAGCAATGTGTACATGGATCTTGTCATTTACATTATTTTTCTGCTGAAGCATTGGTTTTCAGTGAATGCACTTGGTGACCATCCTGCAAATCCTGTAATATTATGCTTACAGTTATCTACTCGTGTATTTCTTGATTATGTGGTAGCATTTATTTGGTTTTTTGGCCTGTAGATCCTCACAAATCGTATTAGCCTAATTTATTGAACCAATGCACACTGCTGCAGGTCTTGACTGTAGGCCAGAAAGCAACATTTGAGTATCATGGAACTAATTACATTCTTACGGTCAATCGAGCGGATGTAGAGGGTCAGGATCACACGAATGGTATCGAAAGAGGGTTGCTCTCTAAAGATACATATATTGTGTTCGAAGCATCAAACTCAAGTGGCATAAAGGTCCGATTTTATAAGTTCTCTGAATCAGTTACTCTAAAAATTCCTACTAAATGATGATTCAATCTTACATTTAAAATAGCAAACATAATATCACATCTGATGCTTGCTATCTTCTGGAAACAGATGTGGATGGCTTTCCTGTATCAATATTTTTAAACCTTTTATGTTCTTATGTAGATTGTCAACCAACGGGAAGCTGCTAGCAGCAATATATTTAAACATAAGGAATTTAACCTTGAGTCGCTGGGCATAGGTGGTCTGGGTGCAGAGTTTGCTGATATATTTAGAAGAGCTTTTGCTTCTCGTGTATTTCCTCCTCATGTCACCAGCAGGTTTCTGCCTCATTCTTCAAGCAAGTGTTAGACTGTATTTGTAGATATATTCCTTCTAAGTTTATCTTTGTTGATCTTGCAGATTGGGAATAAAGCATGTTAAAGGGATGCTTCTTTTTGGACCTCCTGGTACTGGCAAAACCCTTATGGCACGGCAGATTGGAAAGATGCTTAATGGAAAGGATCCAAAGGTATTTCTGACTTTCATAATAGTCTCTCAAGAAGAGTTATGATAACTTACTGGCTTGTAGTCCTTAATTTCATTTGTATGTTTTTAATTAGTTTGTTACCCAGGATTTCACTCCAATTTATACACCTAAATGTTTTATCACTTCATGATTTGTTACCCTGGTTGGATGTACACCTTCTGCAAAAACCTGTTGTTGACTGTTTAATTATCTCACTATTTTCTTCATACATTGGCAGCCGCAGACCCTGTTTCAATTGTTTGCCTCAATAGTTTACTAGTACATTCTAATGTTTCATTCACTGCCTTTGTTCCAGAAATCCACATGTTTAATACTTCCGTTGTTCTTTTGTTGGCATTATATAGATCGTTAATGGTCCTGAGGTGCTGAGCAAGTTTGTTGGTGAGACAGAAAAGAATGTAAGAGACTTATTTGCTGATGCTGAGCAAGACCAGAGGACCCTTGGTAAGGAAACATTGTTCTTTCTAATCGGCTTTTGTGTTTTCTTTTTCCGGCGCATATGCTAATTGGGCCCTCTTATTTTCTTTCTCAGGTGATGCTAGTGAGTTGCATGTCATTATCTTTGATGAGATTGATGCTATTTGTAAGGTAAACAACTTATCTTTTCTTATCTTTGATGATTTTGCTAATTTGAAGCTGTAAATATGCTTTTAATTTTGACAACCAGTCCCATTAACTCTGGGTGATAAATCTTGCATCTTACTCTGTGTTGTGACTGTATTTTTCTCTGTAATTTGGATATTATTAACTGTCATGGGATCTACTAGTTATGAGTTTAAACAATAAATTAACGATTTGGTATGCTTTGTGATTTTCAGTCAAGAGGCTCAACCAGAGATGGCACAGGTGTCCATGATAGTATCGTAAACCAGCTTTTGACAAAGGTCAGTCAAAGATCAGAGCTGTTATCAGTTTATTCGGAGTTTTCATGGATGTGACTAACACCCTTTTATAGATAGATGGTGTGGAGGCCTTGAACAATGTTTTGCTGATTGGAATGACAAACAGAAAGGATTTGCTTGATGAAGCTCTTTTAAGGTATCTTCATCCTTGTGCTAATAGATAGCAGCCATTTCCTTTATACTCCAGTTACACCAAAAGCAGTAACAGAAGGTTTTGAAGTAGCTTTTATCTTAGGTTTCTCTATTTGTCATTTGTAAATATACCATCCAAAGTGTAGTTGCGCTTACTGAAATTTTGGAATGAGTGTACTACATGTGGATTTAGACTTTTATTCTTTTGGACTGTAGGCCTGGAAGATTGGAGGTTCAGGTTGAGATAAGCCTTCCTGATGAAGCTGGGCGTCTACAAATTCTTCAGATTCATACAAATAAGATGAAGGAAAATTCTTTCCTTGGTACTGATATCAATCTCCAAGAGCTTGGTATGTCTTCATAGTTTATACTTGTTTAAATCATGGAATGTTTGGTACACCTGTTCTGTAATTCCAAATATCACCACCTTACTGGATGAAAGATTTATTCTTTTGAAGATCGTCTAGTAATTTGTATTAGAAGACCTAAGAAATTCAGTCTTATGCTTTGGATTAGTTGCTAGTATATATGTTTCTCTGACGTGATATATCAATATTGTCTGGCAGCTGCTCGAACAAAAAATTACAGTGGTGCAGAGCTTGAAGGTGTTGTTAAAAGTGCTACATCATATGCATTAAACAGACAACTAAGCATGGATGATCTTACAAAGCCAGTGGAAGAAGAGAATATCAAAATCACTATGGAGGATTTTCTCCACGCTATCTATGAAGTTCAACCTGCATTTGGAGCCTCCACAGATGACCTGGAGCGCTGCAGGTAAATTTCTTTAATAAGTGTGTGGTGGTTTGGACGATTTGGGATAGTTGTTGATGGAATAGGCCGTTTACATAGATATGGTGGTTGTTTCAAAGCCGAACTTAATTCTCTTCTTTCCTGTGAGGCTGTGAGTCTGTTCTGAAAACGCAGTACTAAGTTTCATTACCTAGGGCCTGCTTTTCTTATCTGTTCAAGCAATTTCCATGCATTTCTGAAAATTAGAGGGTGACTTTAGGCAAAGTTTCATCTCACATTAGATAAAGGAATCGTCCATATTCCTTATTCGTAATCATCAATTTTACTCTTTATAGTTTTTCTGTTGTTTCTGTCCTATCCATTTGTATTTCCAGCGACCACTTGGCATGACTTATTTCTGCATTTAGATTTGCCAGTGCTTTATTTTGATTTTTCTGACATGTATGTAGACTCAATGGGATGGTGGATTCTGGTGATCGACATAATCACATTTACAAAAGAGCTATGCTTCTAGTTGAACAAGTTAAAGTTAGTACTAGAAGTCCTCTAGTCACTTGCCTTCTGGAGGGGCCCAGTGGAAGGTTTCTTCCGTAGTTAAATTACTCACATTTTTTAGCTTACTGTTTTGTAAGCCTTTCTGACTGTTAAACTTTTTCTCTGGACAGTGGGAAAACTGCTTTGGCTGCAACTGTTGGTATCGATAGTGACTTCCCATATGTTAAGATAGTAAGTGTCCATCTTTCTTTGTGCAACATATTTAGACCTTGCCACCACCTTTTCCCTTTATGTGATATTGATTTGCTAATTTGTAGGTCTCTGCCGAAACAATGATTGGTCTTTCTGAGAGCACAAAATGTGCTCACATCGTCAAGGTCTGTCCTTTGGAAACACTCTACCACTTCTTGTTGTTTGTTCTGTCCACTGAAAATTGGTGTTGCTGTGAATGAGACCAGGTCTTTGAGGATGCGTATAAATCACCAATGAGCATCATTATCCTTGACGATATTGAAAGGTTATTATCTGCTATTTGTTTTCTTTCAAAACTTGGCTCAAGACTCTTAGCAAACGTTTGTAGTTTTTCTATTCGGCACAGTACTTAAATTTCTGATATTCCAGATTGTTGGAATACGTAGCAATCGGTCCTCGTTTTTCAAACATAATTTCACAGACGCTAATGGTCCTTCTCAAACGACTCCCTCCTAAGGTGCGTCGGTTGGCGCCATTTTGTTATTTCTTATCCATTGTTTTTTATGATTAATTTCTTATAGTGGAACATCTCTAATTTGGTGAAGTCTTTGTTCACAGGGGAAGAAACTTCTCGTCTTCGGGACAACAAGTGAACTAACCTTCTTAGACTCTGTTGGTATCTGTGATTCCTTCTCTGTCACTTACTCTGTTCCAACATTGAAAACAGAGGACGCAAAGAAGGTAAATGCTTGTTAGCAACTCGTTTTCTTCTTCATATGTTGTTTTTCCAGTTCCACCCTTTGTAAACTCCACCATCCACTCTCTATTTTTCCTTTTCATTGTTTCGAGGTGGCAACAGTGCCCATCAATACCGATTCTTGAGTGGGTTATATTCTCAGTTGTCTTTTTCCTTGTGTTTCTGTGCTTCAGGTGCTAACGCAGCTTGACGTCTTCTCAGAGGATGATGTCGACGCAGCGGCAGAGGCTCTCAATGACGTAAGTTTTCTCCCTCTCCACGCGGAAATAAAACTGACAAATACCGTGAAATTGTTTATAGGTTTGTTTGTCTATACAATGATTCTTTACTTTACTTTCGTGCGCAGATGCCAATCAAGAAGCTTTACATGCTAATAGAGATGGCTGCGCAAGGAGAACACGGTGGATCTGCAGAAGCTATCTACGCCGGGAAAGAGAAAATCAAGATCACTCATTTCTTTGATTGCCTACAAGACATCGTTCGATTCTAAAAACTTCGTACATATACGTCTTTATCTCCTGCTTCATTGGCTTGACCTGTTCAAGATATTCTCATGGAGATCGACCTTGTTTTTGGAAACAAATTTTACTCGGCTTTGTTATTTGGTGGAGGAATGAAACTGATGAGAAGGGCTATGATGCTGTGTTCCCTTTTGCTTTCTTTTTGTGGCTAAAACAATATTTCTTTTGATTTGAGTTATTAATTTGTGGTTTGTTTGACTCCTTGTTTCAACTCATATTGATGGTCCATGTCCTTGTGTTTCTTAAGGACCACCTCGACCATTAGTGGTACATATATTCGTTCCCCCTTGCGACTAGTCAGTAAATGTCTAGAAACATCGATATCAAATTGCGATATTTCACACTTTTTGTGCTCTGCATTGTTGACAATTGCCTTGCCCCATTCATCTTCTCACTTGTGATCTCCACGATTGGCATCTCCTTTTAAAAGACTTAAAGTGTTATGCAAGTCAACTCTCACTTGCACAACATTCAAATTTCTTTGATTTCGTGACATATCAGAATTTTTATTTTCGATTACAAAATTTTGATATACTATGTATATGAATATGTAATCTATTTATAACCTACACAATCGAAATTGTCATCCTGGAATACATATTCCAGTTAGGAGATTTATACCAGCAAGAAAGCTAAGAAGACAAACGTGAGTTCAACAAATATGTTGAAATCTAAGACTGTATATTTGAATATGCATGCCTTAAAAACTTGTACAGTTGTCTCTAGCTTCATATAATATTTGCCTATTTGTCTATAAACCCTAGATTATAATTCCCAACGCCAGATAATAAACTTGAGGTTAATTTCTTATGAAACTAATTATTTGCTGGTTAATTATATCCACATCAATTTATAGCTGGTGACATATCATTATCAGCTCCTTATACTATATATGTGTCAAATATATAGACAAACTAATCATTGATTAGTGATTATATTCCATCTTGAAATATTCCGTTATAATATTTTTTAATTTAAACTATATATATGTGTAGATGCTTTTTCATGGTGCTCCACTTACTTATCTCTTACCTTAAGCCTGACTTAGTCTCCCTCTTCTTCGTCTTCTTCTTCTTCCATTGGCCTTCACCATCTTCGATCTTTTGAAACTCTTTTTTTTTTTTCATAATTTCGTGAGAAATTATGTTTTCCATTGAGCTAGATCATTCCTTTTGTACATAATATGTTTTGTGATTCATCAACAGAGGCTTCTCCAAAAGATGAAATAAGCATAGAATCAAAGGAGAGGCTGTTTCTCTATTCTGCTAATTTTCTGTTTATCATTCTTTTTCCAACGAGTTTCTAAGATTATATTACAGGTAAATTTCTCCTAAGTTTTTTAATGATAAATTAGCAACAATTCGATATCATGTGTTTATAGAGTCAAAATCTCGAAATCATATGATAATGTTCATGTATTAAACAGTTGGTCATGCAGTTGGTCCGAGTTTCGAAAAAACCTTACCAACTCATTCATTTTGAACATGAAATATTTTCACATTATGCGCTTTTACAAAGCTTAATTTTGACGCTTAGATCTTTTACCAAACGAATAAATTCCAATCTTGTTACATAGGAGAAACTTTATTCATCTATCACATGCATTCTATACCCTTACTATATCTTTATGATCTTCTGCTACTTGTTTCTTTTTGTATATATGAATATATGATTAATTAGTACGTAAATACTGAAACCATATTTTTTGGTAAACAAAAAAATAGCACTTTCAAGTAGAAGAGAGGAGATTGTTGTTGGGCTTCTTCAATCTTGGCAATAGAAAGGACAAATAGTTTCCGGGTAATCGAGTTTTGCGAAAGGATAATCCAAGAAAATTCTGCATATTATTCTGTGGTTTTGTGATCTTCACCATGTCAGTGAAAATGAAGGGCATCTATAAAGGCTTCAAATGTATCTCTCAAATATTTGGTAATACTCTTTACCATTTTCTCTCTTCATATAATGTATTAATTTATTTTCTCTTTTTTGGTATTTTAAGAATACTATCTTATATTTCAAAAAAAGAAAAACTAATACATGATGAAATAAAATATGAATTAATTTTCAGCCGTTGAGAAAGAGAGAGATGAAATAGAAATTGGGTTTCCAACAGATGTAAAACATGTGGCTCATATTGGCTGGGAGGGTTCCTCTGGGAGTGCTCCTGGTTGGGTAAGTTCTTTAGTGTTGTTGTTTTGGCCTATAATATGTGAAAATTGTAGTTTCTAACAAGTAAAACCAAAATATTAATATTCATAAAGCTAATCAATGGTTATTTGTATTTATTGTTAAGATGAGTGAGTTTAAGGTCGGAGCTGAGGTTCTATCACCGAGACCATCATCTTTCAGTAATGCAAGACCTTCTACTTCTTTTTTCACTTCTTCTTCCACTGGTAAGTTATTTTTTCTTTTACATTTTACGGTTTGTTTTTTTTTAGTCGCTTGTGATTACCCACTTAATAGGTTGATAAATATATATATAGATAATATCGCTGTTTTGTATATTTATAAACAGATTGAAAAAATAGAAGATTTGTAGATCCTCATTTCACATAAGAGATGGAATTTGTTTATAAATTTGTAACTTAAAATCAAAATGATGCAAGATGTGAAGATTTTACAATAAGAAGTTGTATTTATTATGATTTGTGAGTTTTTTTTTTTTTTAACTTTTTGTATAGTAGTCCATTTATATATATATGTTTGTTTAAATTGAGGTTTATTAATCCATTTATTTTTCTCAAATAAAAATAGTTTGTACATCTAATGTCTTCTCTAAAGTAAAGTTATAGAATACACTAATTCCATTATATTATTTTTATAAATGTAGATTTTGATCAAGGATCGAGTCAACGAACAATATCAGATACACTAAGAGATATACCTCCAGTAACTCCGATAAATCTACCAAAAAATAACAAGAAGAAAAGTAGTAGAAGAAAGAAGTCTTCTTCATCATCATCATCTCCAAAATCGTCAAGATCATCTATATTATCCAAATCTTCGTATAAATCAACCGTATCACGACTAATCTAGAACATATAATGATAGATGGAAGAAAAAATCAAAAACTTTCTCATCTTTGTGCATACTTAAAGGGGATTTTGTTTGCATCTTCTGTTGATTTTTTATTTTGAGATTTTTTCTTACATATGTAGACATGTTGTAATGTTTGGAGTTTGGTTTCTTTAATGTAAACTTAGAGAGAATTAGGTAAAGAAAAAGCAACAAGAAATATATGAAATGATGGTGAATTTGAGTGGTTAATTGCTAAGTTTTTTGTTTGTGTCGTTTTGGGAAAAAGGTCAAAACAGAAGAAAGAACGAAAAGGAAACAAAAATATACAGTACGAAAGATAATTGACTATAGAAACACCAACAAGAGATAGACCTAAACATTTTGCATGCTTCGGTCAAATCTAGTTGTGAAGCCAAACAAGATCTCCAAAGGTGACAAGGCTGGAAACGCCATCTCGAGTAACACTTTGAGCAATAAACTTGGCAATGGAGTTATATTTGCATGATCTCACACTTTTTTTTTTTTATTATAGCTAAATATCCAAAAGAAAAAAGAAAAAAAAAGATAAACAAAATATCTAGAAATTGTGTCCATCTACGGCACTTGACTTAAGCATTTCTTGAAGAGAGAAAAATAGTAGGATTTTAAAGTTTTGTACTTTGTCTTGTTATACATAGCTTAAAGTCTTTTATTTGGGAAAAAGGTCTCTTAATTAAACAATAGTTTGTTAGTAATAACTCTTATAAATATAGCATATTGCCTCCAAGTTTTCACTTTGAAAATTAATGAAGAAGAAAAGTGGAATCTATCAACAGTCCACATTAAACAAATTATACAAGTTTAAATGAAAACAAATTCAAAAATTTAACTTGGAAAATGTGGGGCCAAATAAATCTCAACATAAACTGAAATGTTACTAAATAAAATTAAATGATTCGGTCCCATGCATGTGTATATATATATCACTAACTATATGGCTTTTCAATTTTATTTTCTCATTTTGTAGTCTCATTTACATATTGACTTTGAAGGTTAAATTGTACCACTCGTTTAATAAAAACAAAATCAAAGGAGGTTTATAGAGTTGGGGACACCGGTTACCTTTTCATATAAAAACAACTGTCATAAAATTTTTACAGATGTTTTTTTTATATATAGACTTGGGGACATCGGTTACCTTTTCATATAAAAAAAACTGTAATGAAATTACATAGTTATGTTTTTACAAATGTTTTTTTATGAAAATTAAGACAGTAATCTTTTCTGAAACATTTGTAAAAAAAACAACTATAACTTCTTCAGAAAGAGAAAAAACAATTATGTCTATATAACTTTACGCAATGTTTTAGAATTTGAAATTTTGAAATAAGGAAACAATTATAAAAAAACAAATAAATATTATATATATATATATATATATGTATATATAGAGTCCATAAATGAGTTGGTTGGTGGGTAACAGTAGCACTCTTTCCCACTAGCTTAATTATTTGAAGGTGACATCGCATTGCTCCAAGCGTTTCTTTCATCTTCATTAATTTACTTAATTACCTTTGCCACATCCATTAAATTACCGCTCTAATTCACACAACCGTATAGGTAGCCTAATGCAGAATTGGCTCACCTATGAGTAATTGAGTAGTAAACCAAATCAGTTTGTTGTTGCATTAGTTATTTCTTGTTTTTTTTTTTTTAAATCTTTTTTTGCAAGAAACAGCTACTAAATTTAAGCTTTTTTGTACTATCCCTCCGTTTCATAATATAAGACGTTTTGGATAAATTTTTTTGTTTCATAATATAAATCGTTTTCAAGTTTTAATGCAAATTATATATTATTCTAATATTTTACTATAATTATTTATATTATGCAGCCTATAATTATTTATATTATGCAGTTTTTTTTGTGATTGGTTGAACTTTTAAAAAGTAGATCTTCTTAATCGGCGTATTTTTACCTAAAACGACTTATATTATGAAATGGAGCGATTTTTTTGTACAAACCCTCTCACTATTCATTAATGAAATTTATATTCATATCAAAAAAACAATTACCGCTTTAATTTTACAGATTCTGACGTTTCCATTGAACAACCTGTCGTTGTACTTCTCTAATGGATGAGTATATCTCGCATACACACAATGTCTACCGTTTGGATTGTGGTTCTATCTCATCCGCGTACAAATGAACTATATTGCGACTTATCTAGAACATATGATAATAGATGGAAGAAAAAAAAATTAAATATTCTGTTTAGTTTTCATTATGAGCCATCCAAACTTATCAAAAAAACTCATGAAAAACAATATTCATCAATCCGAATAATTATCATTTTCATGTTGGTTCCAAAAAAATCTAAATTTGAATAAAAGAATGTCATTGGAAAGATACCTTGTGGAATGCTATTGATGACATGTATATATAGAGTCCAACTTTGCAAGACATAAGGGCACTCAAAGAACGTATGGTTTAAGTGATTAACCGTCTTTTGAACCAAAAAAAAAAAAAAGTGATTAAGTACTGTCTCTTCCTTCTCAACACATAAGTAACAAATAGGATCCCAATCCATTCTTCGATTCTGTAGCCTTGAATTTCCTGCTTAACAACTATAAGCCACTGATCAGATAAAATGTTTTAGTGTTGATGAAATTTGAAAATACATTTATACCAATAAACGCAAGAAACATTTTGTAGCAGAAATTACATAATCATCCTAACAAAATCTATCTCACCTATGTGTTTCACCTTTTATTTATTACCATATTTATTTTTATAGGTAGTTTCAATATGGATTGATGTACATCGTCTCCAAGTGAATCAATGTCTTTCCTAATCTTTAAGTTTTTTCTTTCTTTCTTTCTTCATTGTTTGAAAATTAATTAAAATTAAACCTATAATTTTTACAACTTCTTAACTCATTAAATATATTATTGACAAAAGTGGGCAACATAGCCTACAAATAGTTTAAGAAGACTTCGATGAAACCCTTACCAAAGTCACAATTTCTTCCACTCGTTAACAAAATTGATCTCAACAGATTTTTCCCATATACATATAACGAGATCAATTATGCGGATATGACTAACAGGCACAATTAACTGAGACTTGAGTAGAATATCAAATTATATATTTACGTCTCTTGTTCTGTGGCATATATTTTTCTCCTTTTTTATTGTAGATCAATAGGTCTGATATATATATATATATATATATTCAGTAACTTAAACCCTATGTAGTATATATATTGAAAGCTAGAACGGTTATAATTATCGACAAACTAGATTTGGAGGCATCTTTATATGATCTACGATGAAACTAATGAAAATGAGAATAAAAATGTTGGTCTAAATTAAATATTTGAACTTGAACCTTTTAATCTTTTTTTCTTTTAGAATTTTAGTTAACCTATTTAATATTTGATGTTTTGGACTTGTATTGTTTAATTAAACTATTTTTATAGTTTTATGTTAATGTTATATATATACATATATTATATATGTGTATACGTTTCCAAAACGTTTCCAATCCCTAATTTTAGAAAAAAATCGTTTCCCGTTTCCGAAACGTTTCGCTTCCGCGTTTCCGTTTCCGTTTCCATGCAACATAGATACTAACAAAGAATATTAATGGAAGAATTATCTCACTGATATGTCGTCGTCCATGCTTCTATAATGGATATAGTTCTCGCATGTAAGAGTAAATCTAGTACCATTAATACAGAAACAACAATATCATAAGCTTAATTAGCATTTGAAGTTTGAACAATAAAAATCATTTATGTATTCATGCATACATTTAGCCACATACAAACACACACACATGCATACATGTTGTAGTACACTAGTACTTAGGTCTACAAACAAAACAAAACAATCTAAATTTTGAGAGCCACGTCATATGAAAAATAACTAATTCTTTGTAACCTAACTAATGCGTTGTTGTTGATATAGATGAGGTAGGAATTGGTTGTCATAGATACTTAATTATACACATTAGTATATGTAGAAGCGAAAGAAACACTTGCTTGTAAAAAATAATTATTCTTAGAGGTTTTTATTTAACCTATCGAGGTATGAGAATCCATGAGGTGAAAGAAAAACAGTGATTTTTATTTACTTGTATGAATGAACTGAAACTCTCTCTATCTCTCTAGAGATAAATATACAAAGAATGAGTAAGTTTCTCTCACTAAAGCATTAATGGAGCTTTAGATAATCATAAATGCATTGCACCCTCTCTATGCGCTCATCAATAACTCCACCTGTTCTTTTTCTTTCTCTCTTGTCCTCTTCTCCTTCTTCTTCTTCAGCAACACACTTCCATTGTTATTAACACCTAGCTAACTCTCCCCCTAGCTAGCAACCAACCCTTTTACTTCTCTTTGACATTGTCACCGATCTTCTGTTCTTCAAAGGAAAAAATGGGCAGAAACCAAAGATCATTGTGAATTAGGGTTTCACTGTGTCTCCAAAAGTAAGATCTCTATTATCAAGAAGATAGAGAGTAAGATCTCTCTCTCTCTCTCTCTCTCTCTCTACACATATGTGTATGCATCTTAGGTTATGTCAATAGATCGGATCCATATTCCATGTTGTTTGAGACTCTTTAGATCTTCCATTTTTTTTTGTTTATGGTTTGTGTTTTTTGTTCTCAAAATCTCCTCGATTCCTATGATTTTTACCTGTGAATTGTTTTCTTTCTGAGATTATTTTAATTTAGTTTAATTTAATGTTTTTGTGTCTTTTTGCGGAGACTTATGATCTAAGATAAATAAAGCGTTACGAAAAACTTTCTTGGAGTTAGGAGTTCAAAAAGGGGTTTGACGAAATCTACTTGGTGGTTGTGTCACAAAAAAAGACCATTGACTTATTGTCAACGCTTTAATTAACCCTATATACTACAGTCCGTATACTAGTATTTTTTATACACTTTTAATTAATCAACCCTATATCCTATATTTAATTAATTAAACTAATTAGCCTTTTTCATTAGTTTTGTTACTGGAAACGGTTCGTTTTTAGTGCACAGAGACCAAGGTTTAATTCTTTAATAAATTCAATGGAGAGATTAGAAACTTGTGAATCTCGTTCTCTCTCTCTCTTCTCTTACTAGCTTTTGAGTCGACAAAAGAGAGAGAAGATCATTAAACTCAAACCCAAAAATTAAAAAACAAAAGGGAAAAAGAAAAAATAACTACAAAGAGATCTATCTTTAGGGTTTCAAAACTTTCTTGAGTTTCAGATCGAATTGAGTAAGTATTTAAATTATTAATTAGTGTTCTTCTTACTGTAACATTTTTGACCTTACCCCAAATTAGGGTTTATTAAAGATCATAACTCTCTCTCTCTCTCTCTTTCTCGCTTCTTCCTCCACCGTACACTAGATCTGTCCGATAGATCTGATGCTTTGAGAAGTCTTGTGACTTTCAAGATTGATTTTCCTTTTGTTTGTTTGTTTATGTGTACACATACTTGGAGATAGATATTACTCTCATATATGTTACTATGCGTATTATCGATGGATCCATCTTAAGTTTGAAGAAAAACTGTCCAAATCTCATTTTTGTTTGTTTCTTTCTTTTCTCATTTCTTGTTTTTTAAGGCCGTCAATTTATATCTAAAAACTATTTATCTGTTTTCGTAAAGAAAATCGTTTTGCAAAAAAAAAACTTTGAAGAATGATGATATATTTTTCTCTCAAATTTTCTAATAAAGATATCATTTTGGGTCTACATTCAAATCTCTCCTCATATTTTCATCTCATTATATGTAAAACTAATTTATTAGATCATTATATCATATAGAGTATATTGTTTATATATATGTTATGTTATAGTATATGTATAAATATTGCATTCGTAATATGTATATACATATGTACGTATATATAATATGTTTGTAGTTGTGCTACAGTTTTGTCAAATATTAGCGTGCATCTTTGTCAAAGATAAGTTTTTAAATCTGAAATTCTATACTAGAACATCGTTTACCTGTTATGTTGTAAGTAATTAAGAGTTTTAATTAATAGTTACACAATTTCTATTAGATGAATTTATCTATAAGTTGCATGCAAATGTATATATATTCCAACCCAAAAAAATGGAGGGTAAACAAAAACCCAAAAATTAATGGTTACTTGTGAAAATGATAAATTAAATAGTTTCATAACAGCTAGAAATCACTTTCCCTTAATATAATTATTTTCTTCCATTTCCATAATGATCTTCTTCTTCTTCATTCTATATACATATATGAGCGTTTCATATATAATCTTTAACTAATTCGATTTTGATTTTGATTTTGGGCAGTGGAAGATATACTTGGAGAAGAAAATCAAATCACGAAAATATATTAATCAAGAACCTTGAAGATTTGAAGGAAACCAAAGTTGACAACTCCTAATTAAATATCTAACTGAGTGATCATAGTCAATCATCCACCACAATGTACCATCCAAACATGTTTGAGAGCCATCATATGTTCGATATGACCCCAAAGAGTACCTCCGATAACGACTTGGGAATCACCGGAAGCCGAGAAGATGATTTTGAGACCAAGTCTGGTGCAGAAGTCACCACTGAGAATCCTTCTGGTGAAGAGCTTCAAGATCCTAACCAACGTCCCAACAAAAAGAAGCGTTACCATCGCCACACGCAACGCCAAATTCAAGAGCTCGAATCGTAAGAAAAAACACTCAAAACTCATAGCTGCATATATATGTCACAATAGGTTGAAAACATTCTTTTATATATATTTTGAGATTTTTACAGATTCTTTAAGGAATGTCCTCATCCAGATGATAAGCAACGAAAAGAGTTGAGCCGCGATCTCAATTTAGAGCCTCTTCAAGTAAAGTTTTGGTTCCAAAACAAACGTACACAGATGAAGGTTTGTAACCATTAACTAGTATATATAGATATTCTTCTTAAAGCCAATATTAATTATTTTGGTTTTTGAAAGTTATTTAGTTTCATTTTAATACAAAGATTTCTCACAATACTTTGTGTGTAATATATATAGGCACAAAGTGAGAGGCATGAGAACCAGATTCTAAAGTCAGACAATGACAAGCTCAGAGCAGAGAACAATAGATACAAAGAAGCTCTAAGCAATGCTACATGCCCTAACTGTGGTGGTCCAGCTGCTATTGGAGAAATGTCATTTGACGAACAACATCTCAGGATCGAAAATGCTCGACTCCGCGAAGAGGTATACATACATTTGTCTATGTTCCTTTTGTTTGATGAATGAAATTCTGAATCTGTTACCTCTTCATCTACAGATTGATAGGATCTCTGCTATTGCTGCCAAATACGTTGGGAAGCCATTAGGATCGTCTTTTGCTCCACTAGCGATCCACGCTCCTTCTCGTTCCCTTGATCTTGAAGTTGGAAACTTTGGGAACCAGACAGGATTTGTAGGAGAAATGTATGGAACAGGGGACATTTTGAGGTCGGTTTCGATCTCTTCTGAGACAGATAAGCCTATAATCGTCGAGCTAGCGGTTGCAGCTATGGAGGAACTCGTGAGAATGGCTCAAGCCGGGGATCCTTTGTGGGTTTCAACCGATAATTCGATTGAGATTCTCAATGAAGAAGAGTATTTCAGAACGTTTCCAAGAGGAATCGGACCAAAGCCATTAGGATTGAGATCAGAGGCGTCGAGACAATCTGCGGTTGTTATAATGAATCACATCAATCTCGTTGAGATTCTCATGGATGTGGTAACTAAATTTAAATTTATTTCTTGATGAATTACCTTAAACGCTAAAAAATGATTGAAAGAACCTAACTTAAGTTTTAATCTTTTGATGTGGGAATAAGAATCAATGGTCTTGTGTTTTCTCTGGGATTGTGTCAAGAGCCTTGACACTTGAAGTTCTTTCAACTGGAGTTGCTGGGAACTACAATGGTGCTTTGCAAGTGGTATGTACATCGGTTTAATTACATGCTTCTCAAGAAAACTATACACTGAATACTACGCTAATCGGTTTTTGAATGTTATTTTGGTTTGTGTATTCCGGTATGTGAAGATGACAGCTGAGTTTCAAGTTCCATCACCGCTAGTCCCAACGCGTGAGAACTACTTTGTGAGATACTGCAAACAACATAGCGACGGTTCTTGGGCTGTGGTTGATGTCTCTTTGGATAGCCTTAGACCGAGTACTCCGATCTTAAGAACCAGAAGAAGGCCTTCAGGTTGTCTGATTCAAGAATTGCCTAATGGTTATTCCAAGGTATAAAGGGTTATAACTGAGCATTTATAAAGTTTAGGGTAAAAATTTAAAATTTTATAAAACTTTTGGGCTGGTGATGATTACTATGTTCAAGGTTACATGGATAGAGCATATGGAGGTAGATGATAGATCAGTTCACAACATGTATAAACCATTGGTTCATTCCGGTTTAGCTTTCGGTGCAAAACGTTGGGTGGCTACACTCGAACGACAATGCGAGCGGCTTGCTAGCTCCATGGCCAGCAACATTCCTGGTGATCTTTCTGGTATGGACTATTCTGATCACTTTAAATATGTTGGTGCTTAATTGAATGAAAAAGTTGTTTAACTTTTTACTAATTTGGTCCTTATAATATATGGTAATTAATTATGCACAGTGATAACGAGCCCTGAAGGAAGGAAGAGTATGTTGAAGCTAGCTGAGAGAATGGTTATGAGTTTCTGTAGTGGTGTTGGCGCGTCGACTGCACACGCTTGGACAACAATGTCGACAACAGGATCCGATGATGTTCGGGTCATGACCCGGAAGAGTATGGATGATCCGGGGAGACCTCCGGGTATTGTTCTTAGTGCAGCTACTTCATTCTGGATCCCAGTTGCTCCCAAACGTGTTTTCGATTTCCTTCGTGACGAAAATTCAAGAAAAGAGGTAATGCAAAAATATATAACTAACCGAAAACTAATATTAAAATTATTACTTCAGACCAAAATTGCATAAACAAAGAAAATAGGGTTAGAAACTTGCGAGTCACGATTTGTAGAAGTCTCTGAATTTTAAAATATAGCCGGGCCTGAATTCAATATCGGATCACTGGTTTAGCGGTCTAACCATCCGGTTTGAAAACACTGTGCCTAAAATTTGCTAATTTAGGTTTTGAATTTGGTGCAGTGGGATATTTTGTCAAATGGAGGTATGGTTCAAGAAATGGCTCATATAGCCAATGGTCACGAACCTGGGAATTGCGTCTCCTTGCTCCGAGTTAATGTAAGACAAACATTGTTAAAATCGACATTTCTCTTCTTAAGTTTATCGTTTTCAGATTCAAAAAAACTTTGTTGTTGTTGTTTTAACAGAGCGGGAACTCGAGCCAGAGCAACATGTTGATTCTACAAGAGAGCTGTACAGACGCATCAGGATCGTATGTGATTTACGCGCCAGTGGATATAGTGGCGATGAATGTGGTTCTGAGCGGTGGAGATCCTGATTACGTGGCTTTGCTACCGTCTGGTTTTGCTATTTTACCTGATGGTTCAGTCGGAGGAGGAGATGGGAATCATCAAGAAGTGGTTTCTTCTACTTCTTCTGGGGGTTGTGGTGGTTCGCTTTTAACCGTTGCGTTTCAGATTCTTGTTGACTCTGTTCCTACAGCTAAACTCTCACTTGGCTCGGTAGCTACGGTTAATAGTCTGATCAAATGTACGGTGGAGAGGATTAAAGCTGCCGTTTCTTGTGATGGTGGAGGAGGAGCATAGTTTTTTTCAGGTATGATTCAACAACAAAGATCTTAACCTAATGGGATTCTTGTGGAGCAAGTAACAAGTTTGTGTGTGTGTTTTTTTTCTTATGCAGAAGAAGTAAGAATAAGAGAAAAGGAAGGAGAAAAGCGAGCGGTTATGGTTTCTCATTTTGTGCTTTTTTTTTTTTTTTTGAAATCCAAAGGAAGTCAAGAACGCACCTTTTGCGTTTAATTTCATCTCAAGATGATGAAAAAAGGTAAAGAGGTTCGGGTATTGACTTCTGCTGGAAACCACGGTTTTCAATTGTCTATTTTGCGTTCTGCGTTTTGCTTGACAGTTCTTTGAACACTTTTTGGGTTTCCCCTTTTTGTGTTTCTCCCACCCAAGTGTCTGTTTCATTGTTGTTTTGTATTGTAAGCCTTTTTGTGGCACTTAACAGATTATGGGTAAAATCGTTGTTGTCAGTACTACTAGTTGAACCGACGGACCAATTTTCTAACAAACGTAATTTTGTATGGTAATCCTGTGTTCTTAACCCGAACTTTGGTTCCTAATCCCGTTCTAGCGAATTATTGGCAACTCTTAAAATTGTCCGTTTCAACAGTTCATACTATTCGGCCTGAACTATAACTGACTATTTTCACAATGTATACTAATAGTACCAACATGAATTTCACTCCAGCCACTACTTCTTGATCATCACCTACTCTTGTTTAGAGACTAAACGGATTTGAACTGAGTTTGCTCTGGGGTCCTATAAGGTACTACCTGAACTAACCAAACTCAAAATGACTCCAATCATAACCTCTAAATCTCTTTATAATTCCATATTTTAAATGTAACAGTCGTGAAAATATTCCAATTTGATCGAGTAAAAAAGCCAAGTATGTTCGATAAGCTTTAACCATCGTTCAACCTACTTCGACATAAATTCGGCTCTGTATCATGTAGGTATGAAGTTACAAGTAACAGAGATTTCAAGATCAAAAAGGTTCGAATAGAAAAGTAAAACTTGTTTCATTATAGACAAAGTCGAGAGAATAAATACGCTTAAAAAGAGTTATGTTAACTAACATTCTTAGCTAACAGCCTAACATAAAAAAGGAAAACTCAAACAGGGAAAGCTCTAAAGAAAAACCTGAAAACTGGTTCTCTTAGCAACAGCATCTATGAGATCCATTCATCATAAGAAATCTGTTCACACTCGAATATCAGTCTCCCCGGGATTTCCCTGCAATATCTAAAGATGAAAAAGAAAAAGACAATCCGAAGCAAGAAAGAAACAGACACATTGTATTCCATATACATGGGGAAACTGCTACATCTGACATCTGATTTTACTACTACAAGCACCCCAGGTTAGGTGTAGCAGAGAATGCAGAACAGTTACACGTTATCCATGTCCTAAGGCACAACAGGATTTTAGAGGCATAAAGAATGATAAGATATGTGGGTGTAAACCTCTCTTTTTTTTCAATGGTACAAAGGAGAAAGAAGACTTTCTCCATCATTTCTCTCCATCAATGGTATTTTGTGACTAAGTGCATATAGATGATGAAGAAATAAGAATGTAACTTAAATGTAGTCAAGAAAAAGACCTAAAATTCGGTCTAAGGGATCTAACTCCGCATCTTTTTTCTCTGACTACCCTCTTCCATATCACCCTGAAAAAGCAATAACTGGAAAATCAAGAGGTCGCCACTGTATAAATCTATAGCAGCGAAAATGAAAATGGATAAAACTAGACACAAATGAAGTAATGAAAATGCATGGAATGGCTTACCCCATTGGACTCTGGCCTGCACTTTGCATGCACTATAGGACCTAACTGAGACTTGTCCATATCTGTTGTTGATTCATCCGGAGCATTCATGTACACCGCACCTTTGTACATCCATTCCTCGGTTTCATCACTATAAAAGTCTTCAAATGGCTCACCACATAACGCGCATGAAGTTTGGTCTTCATCTGCAGGAACTGCCATCTCTTCTTCATCCTTCTTTTCTGTTGTTGGCTCTGCGGGCAAGAACCCTGGAACTGCTTCAGCTCCTAGTGCTTCTGCGCCACTAAGCCACATGCTAGCACTTACAAACCATTTCCGAGAAGGGTTCTGCTTATGGTTCTTGGACATCCTGTTCTTGGTTACATGCCAATCCATGTGCTTACTGTGCTCTTCTTGGCATTTGAAGCGTAGACCACATGTTGTGCATTGCCTCGGGAGATCCCCATATAGAGCACTGATTGCAGACTCATTACGGATCTTGAGCATGTCCGCATCAAACTCCAACCCCAATGGTCCCTGAATATATAAAACCAACAATTCAAGATAAAGCAAGAAGACACAGACTCTCAAGGGGTGACATGATTTGAATGATTACCTGGCCAGCAGGCTGATTGTTCAATGAGATCAAACCTTGAGCCATGAGAGAGCCAATCAGACCAGAGAATGCACCACCCGGTGGTTGATTAGAAGCTCCCAACGAAGCATTCTGCGAGATGGATCCTATCTGAGATAAAACCCCTGAAGAAAGAGGATGCATGGCTTCCCCACCTTGGATTGATAAAGATGGTCTAATTGTTGACCCATGTGGAGGGTACCCATGACTTACATGGTTTAACAGCGATTGAATTGGCCTTGGAGCCATAGCAGATGAAGATGGCAAATAATTGACTAGCATCTGATTCTGTTGAGTCAAATCATTATGATGACTCTGAGAGACCTGGTTTTCGGGCCTATATAACGGCTTACCATGCAAGCGATTTGACATTGCATTACCAGGATTTGCCAAATGATGCAAGTGAGCAGAAGGTACAGGGAGAGAGTTGGGTCCTCTAACATTCAAATGGGACCATGTTCCATCAGGAAGAGCCCGACCAAAACGTGAGTTAACATCTTGAATGCTATCAAATGGAGGAGGCCCGAAATCACTGTTTGATGAAACTAGTCCTACAGATGAAGCCATTACTTTCAAGTCCTTTCCTGCTCTGGTATTGACGTGGTTGGATGAATGTGGAAAATTTTGTGACAAATTCCAACTTTCTCGTAGCTGATGACTTACACCATTCTTAATGTCAGAATCTAAATGAAAATCACTTGTGTTTCCTACTCTGGGTCTTGCCCTTACACTTCCTAATGCTGGGACAGATGATCGCAAAAATTCACCAGCTCTGCTACGATCTAGGGTAGGGCTCATATCTTCCCAATCAAACTCTTCTTCCTCAGTGTTCTGCCATGGTGTAACCATCTTACTGTGTATGCCATTCATATCGCGAATTGGTTTATTGATTGTTACGTGTTTGCTGGTGTCAACTCCATATGCATCTATCAGCGCTCTGGGTCTATCGTGATCATTTCCTTGCCCTAAGTTTTCCTTTCTTCGCCATTCCATATGTTCATCATCTCTGCTAGTAGCTCGACCCATTCCATAGTTAAAGGCTTGATTAGAAGGATTAGCTCCATCATTAAACCTCCTCGGAAAACCCTCTGCTGCAGGGCCATTAGGGTCAAAAGATTAAGAATTATTTAAAGTCAATCAAGTACAGGTCCGGTGATTGCAGGCTTGACGAATATTACCTCCAATTGCAGAAGACGAGAGGGCCAAACTTCCAGCTGTACTAGATCTTTGTCCAGAGAGTGAAGATGGGCTCTCTAAACGATCTTCAATATCATCATACCCACCGGAATTTTGGCCATATACTCTTGCAGTGGAATTAATTCCTCTTAAATTCTGCATGTCAAGCAAGAGCATGTAAAGAAATATGCATGTCAGATATAAGAGTGTATGAAAACAAGTTCTGAATGACAAATGATGCATACACAATGATCTACTGTACTATAACCAAAAGAAACCCTCTACATGTGCTACCAAGATAATTTCTAATGCACTAGAGTACCAGTGACCTACTCATCATGAATAATTGAGAGATGCCACGACAACAGCCCCTAATAGTCAAGATTGATTACTTGAAGAATGTAAACATCTATCTCTTCTAACTCGCAAAACTTTAAAGAAATACTATGGATAAAACCACTATGAGGCTAGACTAATCTAATATCAGGTTTTCTTGGTATAGTTATAGAAAATTAACGTATCATAGCTTCAAGGTGGCAGATGCAACCATACAAGAATGTCATCTCTGTTCACAATGACAAAGAGAAAGGCTTACATTTTCTGCGGCTGAAGGCTCCAGCCTGCGAAGGTATTTTGGATTAACATGTATGCCCCTCGTTGGTTGACTAGGCTCGGAAGCCCCCAAGGAAGATTGGTGTGCTGCAGATGAAAGTTGCAATTGCATCTCAATCTTGCGTAATACAGGTGGTGGAAAAACACTTGACCAAGTCCCAAACAGGTGGCGCATTGACGGATGTAAACTCGGATGCGCTTGCCTGTATGCTAGGCAGAAGACCTAAAGCAGCAGACAGGACATATAATCCAGATTGAATCAAAACAGCTTATGGGTATGCTTCAGCGCTATACAAATCAATAAAGCAAACATCTTCTTGTAGACTGCTCACCTCGGGTAGACGGGATGAGAAATAACGAACATAATCCCGCCCAATATTCTTAACGATGCTGTCTAAAAGATACAGAGAAGGCAACTTTTGCTCAACTGGAGCCTGCATATATACACGAAACTGTATCATAAAAATTCTTAATTCACACAAACAGGTAACTCTTAAGCAGCCCCAGTCCACTAAACCACAAAACCAAACACTCATCTCTAATTGCATAACTCTGACAATCAAAAACCTAAAATTTTTCCACTTTCACACTAATAAAGTACACAATAAAGCTTCAATGGCAGAAACAATAAAAAACAAACCTCAAGAATTCGAGTGCAAATAGCATTAGCGATTCCTTCACCATGTTCCCGTTGTTCACCAGCGATAATAGTGAGATCAGTGATAATAGGCTTAGAATTGAAAGTAAGCTCCCCCAAAACAACCTCATAAAGCTGAACAATCTCATCCATACTCGGAGGCAAAACCTCTTCACTACCACCGAACTCATCTTCACGTTGATTAAGCAAAGCTTTGAACCGGTCTAGCAACGACGGCGGTGGCGGCGGTTTCTGCGGCAACTCAACGGACATACCTTTGCGGCTACTGGTGCTGCTATTGATCGAAAGAAGCCTTGGATTGAGGATTTTCTCTGAGTCCATCACCAATTCAATAGTGAAGAGTGATAATTAGTGTCAGCATAAGGCTAGGGTTTTGTTCCACCATGGAAACTCGATTCGCCACCCTCGGGGGAAGAGAGAGAGAGATCGATAACGGAAGTTTTTTTAGTGAAGAGGATTTTTTTTTTTCTCAATTTTGTATCTCTATTTTATGCAAATCTCATTTTTGTCCCTTTTTTTGTAGAGTTATCAACTAGACCCAATTATTACTTTTACCCGTTTTGAGTAACCCATCGATTTGACTTTTACTATGACCTCGTTATTACACCATAATGGGAAAATTCTATGGCACACTAAATTTGCTTATGTGTGTATCATGCCATAAATATTTTTAATATGTATATGTAAACTTATTTGACAACATGAGCCATTTTGGCACAGAAATGTTTACATGCGAACAAAGAACCTCATGCTCGTGTCCTGTGTATCTAGCTAGATAACTTGCACAAAGATTACTAGACTATTACTTAAACGAATTGAATTGATTTTTTTTTATAAATGATATTATAGTTTTGCAAATTCGCTCAACTTCGTTAAAATCGCTGACTATTTTAGAGCATTTAAAAAGGCCCAAGACAAACCCAACTTTATGATCTAGTACAAGTTCATAAACCATGTAATTGAAGTTCTTAGCAAGACGAAGATTCATATATACATAGTTTTGTATGGGATTCACACATTATTTGTATCGTTTAGTCTTTTCATTTCTTCATTAGTGTCTCAGCAAATTGTAACAGTGTATAATGTTCCAAAGAATTATGGCAACTTTTCGGAAACTTTGGTACAACTATATTGGCTATCTTATAATTACCTGGAGTAATTAAAAAGCACACGCCATTTTCAGCTATTTAGCGCACTAATAATCAAGCTCAATTTATTTTCTCTTAAATAAACCATACACTCGTATGTGTCTTAAATAAACCCATAATAACAAGTTCCAATCCGGTAATAATCAACCACAACTTATTTTTCTTAAGTAAACCAAGATCAGCTAAACCAAGATCAGCTGCCGCTAATCTGACGTAAAGTTCCTGACCTTCTTCCACGTAGTTCCGAATATCCATGAGCTCTCCGGTCCAAAGTACACAACCCGACCCGCCATTTCGGATATCAGCATTCGCAAACGCCGTACAATTACAATCTTTCTTGCACCTCTCGAAACATTCCTCCTTCACCCCAATACTCTTGTCCACAATCGCAGTTGTAGTTTCCGGCAACTTCATGTTCGCCATCCGTAAAAACGCATCTCCGACACAGTTTAGTTCTGTCTTCCTTACACATCCATGTAACCAGTCTTTCAACTCCCATGCGCGCGGATCCTTAGGCTCGAATCCCAAGATACAACTACACATCGGGTTGTTTGCGTAGTCACAGTAACTATAAGGTCCACATATGTTGAACAAATCACATTGATCTCTTGGTAAAGCCCATAACCTGCTCCAATTCCCTAACGGCGGAATCCACGTATATTGTTGAAAATATCCTGAAGGACTCACTGTCAATCTGGAGTAGATATCGTTGTTGGTCTTGGTCATCAGGAATGTGTATGTAATCTCTTCTTTATTGTCTGTGAAATTATCAACCATTTCATTCAACTGTCGCATATCAGGTACACTGCTAAACCGGATTCCGTTCCATGGACCGGTTCGGTGTATTGGAACGTCTTCACTCCATAGAAAAAACTCAGGAACCCCTTGAGTTTCGAGTTTGTACGAATAATCTCCACTTGCCGGATCATCAGTACTTCTCCAAGATCTTAGGAATCTGTTGAATCCAGTATTAAGATCCAAACCAAGTTTCATTTCCGGAAGTATAGTATCTGTCGGATAATCGAAACTCTGCCACAGAAACCCACTTGGGTCGTTGTTGTTGTTGTTGGAGTATCTCATCACCAAGTTGCCATTATCGAGAAGCTCTACGACAACCACCGGAGATATCACGTCTCTTGTGGTGAGATTCGTCGACCAAACAATGTTGTTTGAGTGATCGAGGAGAACCAGGTTGTTAGTGTCGGAGATTTTGAAAGTTCCAATGGAACTCAAGAGAGGGTTGTCTCTATTAGCAACCCATACATAAGTTCGCTCGGAGATTTTCTTGTACCATATCCCAAGATACCAATGAGAAGTATCCGAGGAGGGTTTGAAGAAACCAAGCTCGAAAACATCACCAGGAGACACAATGGTTCGGTTGCTTGAGATTGTAAGAGAATCTGTAGGTGACAAAGTATTGACATGGATTGAAAATGCAGGACGAAAGAGAGTGAAGACAAGGAAGAAGGAAAAGGTGTAAAAATGGTGGTAGATGTTTCGTACGCCTCTCATCTCTCTCCACAATATTTTCATATATGTTCTTCTATCTTCTTCCTTCATTTATAGATTTTTTTCATAAAGGGTTGATTGGTGAAGTTACATAAGATAAGATAAATGTAATAAACTAATTAATCATCTAATAAGTGACGTAAGGTATATAATAACAATACAAAATGACGACAAAAAAATATACAAAACTTACGTGAAAATAGAGTATATATGTAGTATAATTTTAACGCATGCATAAATAAATAAGGCGTTTGCAGATTAATTTCACCTATTAAAATTGTTTTAGATTTCAATTAACATATTTTCTTATGTCTTAAATCTAAGCTTAATTCATAAAAATCCTACATTATAGTATTATTTGAATGTTACCAGCAAACAAGCAAAATGTGAATTCAACATGTCATGACTTTTTTTTCCATCACTTCAATTAATTCATTCCAATTTCCAACAAATTTTTGTCATTAGTCAATACTTTACCATTAAATCACCATGTGAAATTAATTTCTCACTCGGCCAACATAACATATATGTTGTTCAGTTCAGTAGCATGTGTACTGTGTAGTGCTCTCAAGTCCATCCTTTGATACATTTATTCTGCATTTATATAACCGAGCAAATTAAAACATGGACCATACATTTATTTGGAGAAACAAGGACGTATAACCGAGCAAATTAAAACATGGACCATAGATTAAAGAAGAAGGTAGCTAGTCTCGTTAGGTTCCTTTAACTCTCAAACTTGCAAATGCTGCTTCAGTTTTTGCTCTTAGAAAGTTAAACTTTTCATTTTAGTATTTTGTCAAATGTTTAATGCAACATCTTTGACCATATTTACATGTCAAACGACACTATCACTATCACTATCATTCGAAAATGTAATTTATTAAGGCCAAACGTAAAAGATGTTCTTGAACAAGCCCATTAACAATGACCCAGGCCTGTTAAAAAGCCCAACATTTTTATATTCTCTCAAAAGCCCTAACACCGCCGCTGCGACAAAATCTAAACCATTGCTCCACTCTCGTCTGCTTTTGTTCCGACGTCTCATTCTCTCTAATTTCTCGATCAAAAGCCATGTTTAGAAGCAAATTCGCCGGTAAGACTTGTAGTCTCATCGTGGTACGGTCTCAATGAAGGCTTACTTTTTTAATGGGCTTTATAATTTCAGCCCAACTGTTACTTTTTAAAATAATTACGCTCTCTAATTATTTTGAGTTATAGGATGGTTGGTATTTGAGAGTTCCTAGGGCAAGCACAAGCATATGAAAAGGCAGTTAACGGAAACATCACCGAAGAACTCCTTAGCGAAAAGGTAGTTTTCATTTCTGAAAAAACAAGCAAAGGTTTTACAAGTCCGTTGTTTGATGTTCATTGTTTTGAGTTTACGTTTTTTGAATGATAGTGATGGTGTCGTGATATGGAGGTTTCTAGGATTTTCTCACTGTCGTTTAGCTTTCTAGGGTTTTTCTTTTTTTGTGATTTCAAGGGTTTTTTTTAACTTAAGTATTTTCTTGTAGGTTTTGTTGTGATCATCGCCAATGGAAAATCCCCGTAAAAGGCAGAAGAGCACATCTGGTTTGTGGCTTGAAGATAATACAATGCGTGTTCGATTGTGTTTCAAAGATATAGATGAGCTGAAGAAGGCAGTGGACTGGTGGTCCATTAAGAGGCAGCAAAAATGTTTACTAAGAGAGACAGACAAGGACATTTATGTGTTTGAGTGTGTAAGATGGCAATGCAAGTGGTCAATTTGTGCTTCTAGAATTGAAGAAGGCGGTCTTTTTGAGATAACCAAGTGTTGTGGTCCACATATATACTTGTCGACCTAACTATTCTTCACAAGATTTTAAAGTCGAGTTTTTAGAATGTGAGATTGAACGTGTGGTCAGGGTACAACCCATGCTTGTTGAAAGAAAAATTCGGCTATGCCCTTGATAAAGTGGTGGAGCATTGTGGGGAAGGACTTTTGCAGGATGCGAAAGAGAAAGCTATCAAAGGACTTTTTGGAGATTGGGATCAGAGTTTCAGGATCATGCCCAAGTTAATGTCTGCGCTTCACTCTTCTAATGGCCTGCTCGTGGACTGGCAATATGATTCTTTGCCTAATCCTGAACACGCTTACTTTCGCGGCGTGTTTTGGGCATTTTCACAGTCTATCCAAGGGTTCCAACATTGTAGACCTCTGATCGTTGTGGACACCAAAAACTTGGGCGGTGAATACAAAATGAACTTGATGATTGCCTCTGCGTTTGATGCAGCCAATCAGTTTTTTCCGCTTGCCTTTGCAGTGACTAAAGAAGTATCCATTGATAGTTGGCGTTGGTTTCTCACCAAAATCAGAGACAAGGTAACACAGAGGCAAGGCATTTGCCTTATCTCTAGTCCCGACCCCGACATTCTCGCTGTTATTAAAGAGCCCGGGTCTCAGTGGAAAGAACCTTGGGCTTATCACAGGTTCTGTCTGGATCATCTGTGTTCCCAATTACGTAGCGTTTCTCCAGGCTACGACCACAATATGGAGTTTCTTGTAGAGCATGCTGGTTTGTCAAGTAAGAAGGAAGAATTTGATTCTTACATGAAGAAGATTAAAGAGAGTAATCCAGAAGCTTGGAAATTGTTAGACCAAATCCCTCCACATCAATGGGCTCTAGCTCATGACAGTGATCATCGGAGATACGGAATCATGAAGATAGATACTGAAGCTCTCTTTGCTGTTTGTAAAAGATTTCCTAACGTTGCAATGACAGGGGGTGTGATGATTCTGTTTGGTGAGCTGAGAGACGCTTTTGACGAGTCTTTTAGCCGTAGCCGTGGTTCTCTTAACCGCGGTGATGTGTACACAGAACATGTCATGGAAAAGCTTGAAGAGTTCATGAAAGTTTCTGCTACTTGGGTTATAACGCTCTTCGAAGGAGATGCATATCAGGTCAACTTCGAAGGGATTGTTAAGTTGAATGAGTCAACCTGCACTTGTGGAGAGTTTCAAAGGAACAAGTTCCCATGTCTGCACGCTCTAGCAGTCTGCGATGAGCTGAATATCAACCCGTTGCAGTATGTAGACGAGTGTTACACTATTGAACGGTATCACAAAACGTACGCGGCTACATTTTCTCCTGTTCCGGAGTTATCAGCTTGGCCGGAAGCTTCTGGCGTTCCAACATTGCTTCCTCCGGTCATTGAGCAGCCTCCACCTAAAGTATTAGGTACGTGAAACAAATTAAATAGGCACTGGTGAGCTGAAAGATAGTTAGACAGATTTGAATAAAAACGGGTTTAGGAACTAGGATTATTATGCTTGGCTTACTAATTCTATTTCTCTAGTATCTCTTTGACTTTTGGGAAGTATATGATGTCTCTATATGATTGTACCGTTGTAAAGGAGATATATTGTGTTATTATTTTTCTGACACCATGTTTGTGTTATATTGTAAAAGGGAAAGAGACCGAGGATGTTCATCTCGAAGAAGAAGAAGAAGATATTACTACAAGAAAACATAGCCATTTCCAAGGAAAATTTCCGACGAAATGTTTGGTCGGAAATTTTCCAACAGGTTTCCGACGAATTTCCGACAAGATTCCGAGGAAAAAAAATTTGTCGGAAATTCGTCGAAAAAAGAGAAAAATTGCCGACGAACACAAATTCATCGGAATTTTATCGGAATGATTCATCGGAAAACATGGAAAATTCTGACTATTTAATTTTGTCGGAAATTGGTCGGAAACTTGTCGGAAAACTCGTCGTAATTATTAGGTGAACTCATGTTTATTCACTGCACATTTCCCGACAAAATTCCGACGCTTTGGTCGGAAATATTAGTCGGAAAAATCGTCAGAAATTATGAGTTTAAACCTTTAATATTTCCGACGAATTCCCGACGAAACTTAAGTTGGAAAGTTTTGTTAGTCCGAAATTTGTCGGGAAGTTTAGTCGGAAATTCATCGAAAATTATTTATTTATTCATTTTTATTTTTAAAAAACGAAAAATAAATAATTTATAATAAATAAGTAATTCATTTCGCCGGAATTTCGTCGGAAATATTATTTTGAATTTTTTTTTTGAAAAAATTAAATAATTTATAATTAAGTAAATAATTAATTAATAATTAATTTCGTCGGAAATTCGTCGGAAATTTCTACGTTTGTCACTATATTAATTTATTTTTATTTTAAAAGTGGTCGGAAATTTCCGACGAATTTCCGACCACTATATGAATAGTCGTCGGAAATTCGTCGGAAATTTCCGACACAATTCCGACAAATATTTCCGACAAAACTTCCGACGAATTTCCGACCAGAGAATTCCGACGAATTTGATTTTGTCGGAAATGTGTCGGAATATGCTATTTCCGACGAATTTCCGATCAATACCGTCGTCGGAAATTGTGATGTTTTCTTGTAGATGATGATGATGAAGATTATGAAGATGAAGAAGATGATGAAGAAGAAGAAGAAGATGAAGATGAGTGGTAATGTTCAAAGAAGCAGCTTGTTTGCGTAATGAGATTTAACATAAGATCAGTAGGATTCATTCATGCAGGCCTGGCCCGCCCATAAAGCAGCCAAAGCTTTTGCTTTAGGCCACATAATATAAATAAAATTTTAGAGCTATATGTCCAATTTGTTTGCTGTGGTCAAGTTGGATGTGTATTATTTCAATGACTCACTTTTCGTCAGTTCGAGTCTTTCAATATATACGTTTCTCTTGTTTTGTTTTTTTTTCTCCTTTCTTTTTCCTTTTGACTTTTTACATGTCTTTCTTTTTCCTTTTTACGTGTCTTTCCTTTTTGTTTTGTAGAGTAAGAGAAAATTGTTTTTAATTTATTTATTAATTTATGTTTAGTTGTTTTTTAGCAACAAAATCTCCAAATATTCTATTTAACTTGGCTAGTAGCCTAGTAGGTGTTATGTTATTCTTAACTTTCGCTAACAAATCCGAATTTTAAAAATTTAATGACTTTTTCTAATGCATTTTTTCAAACATATTTTGATAATTTTTTAACATTAATTTTTATATCAAAAATTATATTTTAAATATGCTTTAGGCCACCAAAATCCTAAGACCGGCCCTGCATTCATGCCCACTTTAAACAGCCTTTTGAAGTTTTTTTTTTCCCTCAAATTTCGCAAAAAAAATTAAAAAAGTGAAAATAAAATTTTTGCTTTTGATTGTTGCTTTCGTTTTTCGATCTATCCAAAAATAATAATTTTAAAACGAATTGGTGGTAAATTTTGAAAATTTTCATTATTGTAGCTTTGCTAATTTTTTTTCTTCAAAAAGTTAATCGTGGAGAAAAATAACCAAACTGAATCGACAACAAGCGATCAAAAACGTCGAAAAAGAGGATTTTAGAGACCTCTTTTGGGCTATCGTCTTTCTTGTTTGGGCTTCTGTTTCTCCTCCTCGACTAATTTATTCGATCTTAGTTTGGGATTGAGCTCTGTATTTTAATTCGGAGTTTTATTCCACAGTATTAAGCTTTGGTTGGCTTCAATACTTGTTAGTTGTGGTGTTGAAAGGTCTTGTGATTCTCGTTTATCTTACAGTTCATCCGAAAGATCTGCGACAAGGCATTCTTCACAGAGAAAGCCAAATTCCACTATCTTGTTACTGCCATAAGTGTTGAAGCCCGTCTTCATTAATTGTTGTGCAGGAAGTCCTTACGGTGAGTTTCGAAAGCTTACTTAATCTTGAGACAAAATTAGTTTGGTATTTATTGTAATGTATTATTAAAATTCTAAATACTCACCTCTATAGATAAACAAATAGATAGATAGACAAATTAAGAATATATGGCGATGTAGGCAAATTAAAAATTATAAACGGCGATGAACATAAAATAGAGTTGTTGTCGAAGAAGCTAGACCTAATGTTGGAGGAGATAAAGAAGGTGGAGAAATAAGAGCAATTCGGGAAAGAGGGGAAGATGCGGTAACGGTGGTGTTGGTGTTGATGAAGGTGGTTCAAGCTTAGTGGTGGTGGCGGTAAATATTGATGAAGGCGGTGGGTCGGAATTAACGAGATTTAGTATTGATGGTGATGATGATTGTTGTGAAATTCAGTTGTGGTGGTGGTCTGGTGGGTCGGAGTAGTGAGACTCAGTGGTGACGCCCGACGAATGAGAGAAATAGTGATATAGAAAAAGAAAAAAAAAATATGGTGGTGAATAAATCCAACGAGAGGAAGAGAAAGAAAAAGAAATAGGAGATCAAGCAAAAATAAGAGAAATCTACTGAAAGAAAAGAGAGATTTGAGACTTTTTGCCGGCGAGAGGAAAGAAAAAAGAGACAACAAAGATTTTATGAGTAAGATGACAAAAAATTGACAAAAACCATATAGCAAATAGACATTGTTTAGTTAATATTATTTTCTTAATTTTTTTTTATTCTTAGGTTATTTAGTTCATATTCCCTAATTCATTACGAATTTGTTTTTTTGTTTTGAGGATTTTTTATATTATCAAGTAAAGTTACATGATGTGGATATAGATCATCTCATATTGTCACAATTTTGTTTCTATCTTACCCACATTAAAATTAGAAAGTGTTATACACTCTTCCGATGGATATAAATAAATTATTAAAATTCAATAATACACATATGAACATTTATTAAATATCATACTGTAACATATAATAAACAAAACTACAAAAAGTATTTTATATTACACATTATGCATAATTAATCTATATTTAACAAATCATTAAATACTACATTTTCTAAAATTAAAACATATTTTTATATAATTTTAGTTTAACTTACAAAAATAAAAATTGAAAATGACAATTTCGATCGATAACCCGTGCGTTCTATATCTAGTTGTAGATTATGAGTTAAGCATTGTGTCTTTCTGTAATTTAATCTCTCTTTTTTCTCATGTTTTGTAACCTTTCCGAATCTAATATCAGTATAATTTCAGAGAAAAGAAAAAAGCTTTGCTAAGTTTTTGTGTCGCCGGTCTAATGTATGTATGGGCCCGTAAGGAAACGAATTTTTGGGCTCAAAACTGTTTAATAACTTTTTTTTTTTACTGGACTGATAAAATTTACACGCTTCTTTTCTTCTTTACAGCTCAACTTGTGTCTCTGTTTGTCTTCCTAATCCGTACTCTGTTCTCTTCTCTTCTTTTGGAGAAAAAAAAAAATGGAATGGATAAAATCAATGCCCAAAATCGAGCTTCATGCTCATCTCAACGGCTCCATTAGAGACTCCACTCTTCTGTAAATCCCCCAAAATTATCTTCTTTCTTACGACTTTTGTTCCTTATCTCTTATCTTTCGTATCTGCAACTTCTGCAATTGCACTGATCAATAGTAGTAATTTACCGAATTCGATGTTTGAAATGATGGGTTTTGTTTCTTTTGATGTAACAGAGAGCTTGCTAGGGTTCTTGGTGAGAAAGGTGTTATAGTGTTTGCTGATGTTGAACATGTCATTCGAAAAAGTAAGAGACTTTAAATTCGTTGTTCTATATTTTGCTTAGTTTTAGTCTACTCAAGTGTCACAATTAGTTTCTCATGTTTGGTATGTATAATCGTTCCTTGTCGCTTTTTTAGATGATCGATCTTTGGTTGAAGTCTTCAAGTTGTTTGATTTGATCCATAAGCTCACTACTGATCACAAAACCGTGACAAGGATCACTAGAGAAGTAAAACCTTGATTTCAATTTCCATTCATCAATTTAGTATATCTAGAGACTTGACTGATCTTATCTTGACAGGTTGTAGAAGATTTTGCTTTAGAGAATGTGGTGTATCTCGAGTTAAGAACAACTCCAAAGGTACATAATTTGGCATATTTTTGAAAGTGTTTTAAGTTATATGAATAATGAGATTGTTTGTTTGTAGAGGAATGATTCCATAGGTATGAGTAAACGGTCTTACATGGATGCGGTTATTGAAGGTCTGAGATCTGTCAGTGAAGTCGATATTGATTTTGTTACGGCATCTGATTCTCAAAAACTGCTCAATGCGTGTGATGGAATTGGAAGAAAGAAGATTTATGTTAGACTTCTTCTTAGTATTGACCGTAGAGAAACAACCGAGTCTGCAATGGAAACTGTAAGTGTTAGAAAAGAAGCTAAGCTACTCGAAAACATAAAAGACTAATGCAGAAAACATTTGAGCTTCTCCTTTTTTTTTAAAGGTTAAGCTCGCATTGGAAATGAGAGATGTCGGGGTAGTTGGTATCGATCTTTCAGGGAATCCTCTTGTTGGAGAATGGTTATTTTTTTGTAATTTGCTTCTTTGTTCTTTGCTTCGCTCTACTAGTTGCTTCTGAGATCTTTCATGTTCTTGTAGGAGCACTTTCTTGCCTGCATTACAATTCGCGAAAGACAGTAATCTTCACATCACTCTTCACTGTGGAGAGGTATTAACTCTTGAAAATCCACTAAACGATTTTCAAATGTCTTTCTTTAGTTTGTCTACTACTTTCTTTATCTTAGTGCTTTGTAGGTCCCCAATCCAAAAGAAATCCAAGCCATGCTTGATTTCAAACCGCATCGAATTGGCCATGCCTGTTTCTTCAAAGATGAAGATTGGACAAAGTTGAAATCTTTCAGGACTCCGGTAATAGCTTACATTCACA